TGCTTTGAAAAGGGGCGGGGGGGGGGGACGGGACCCAGCGCGGGTTTTGGGAGAGGGGAGCCCGCGAGAGGTTTGGCTTGCGCTCGAAATCCTTGCCCTTCCTAATGCTGGAGGGATGAGCGCTCCCTCCCTCCCTGCCTCCCTCCCTAATGCTTGATTGATGGCCAGCTTGGAAACCTTGCCTGGGTTAGATCAATGGGTTGTAATTATAGCAACCAACCAGTCAGAGGAAAGGAATGCTTGGACCCACGTTACTTTGATTGGCAGCAGAGAAGGGAGGGAGGAGAGCAGAGACGGGAGGGAAGCCCGCCGGCCTCGCAAAGGATTGTGGGAAATGTAGTTCATTTCCCCCCTCACTAGCCCGAATAGTTCATTTTAGCCCCACCACGTGGTTCCGACAGATGCCTTAGGGAAGCCCATATAACTAAGCTTGAGCCCCCAACATTTGGTAAAATCACACGGAGAGGCTGCCCCTGCACGTGGAGGCTCCATCTCACTGTCCGGGTTAATCGCTCCAACGACCACAAATTTGTTTTAAAAAGCCACCCAGGCTACCGCATCTGGTGGCAGGCAGTTCTGCAAGGTAGTTGCCAGATGTTGCTGGGAAGAAACGCCTTTTCCTTCTTGTCGGTCCTCAGCTCCCTCCTGATCCGGCTCACGGGGAGACCTCTAACATGATGATCTCGCGGGTTTCCGGCGTCTTTTTCTGGCAGGGAACTGGTGCCGCAACAGCGCAGCCCTACCTGTATGTGGGAAGGAGGCGCTTCACCTTTTGAATTCCTGCCTGTCGCTGCTGTTAAACGGGGGCGGGGGACGGGACTGGATCTTTTGCTTGTCTTCGATTCTGGCTCAGAATAAGGATAGATCCCGCAGGACGCTGCCTGCGGCGCTGTCTAGATGGGGCTCCTAGCAATGCTCCCTCTCAGCTGCGGAGTCTTGTGAGCAAAAATTCTACATTGTGAGCTACGGGCATTAAAGCTGGGAGTGAGCGATTTGGCTGCTGCGTAAACTAGTTTGCTCTGGAGCCCTCCTCCCTGAGCTAAGACGGAAATGTGCGAGCCGGAGGCTAAAGAACGGTGAGCTGGCTCACACTAACTCAGCTTAGAGGGAACACTGCCTCCTACTGTATTGAGAAACGGTTTCCTGCCATGGGGAGGGGGAACTTGCTGTCCAAGGAGGCTCCTGAGTCCTGACCCACCCGCCCCGCAGCACCTTCCAGAATTTCCCCCCGAGGTAGGACTGGCCCTGATCGTTCCTGTCGGCGCGGGTGCCCTCGGCGCGATTCCCTTCCAGAGACCTCGATCCAGACGGGGAGCCGTGTTGGTCTCGAGCCTGCGTGCGCACAAAAGCTGGTGCCCAGAATTCAACCTTGTTTGTCCAAGGTGCCGCTGAACTCGAACTTGGGTCTACAGCTAAACTGCCTGGCGGGTTGTAGTTGATCAGAGTCCACTTTCAAAAAGAACTCTCGGCAGTCCAGCAGTCGGTAGGTAGGCCTGGCGCTAATTCTGGGTGTGGGCTTTCGTGTGTACGCACATGCATGCACACGGAAGCTTCTACCCAGAATTAAACTTTGTTGGTCTCAAAGGTGCCTCTGGACTCAGACTTGGTTCTGCTGCTTCAGTCCAGGGCAACTTAAACGGCTGTCGTCACCATTTTATCCTACAACAACCCTGTGAGGTAGGAGAGAGAGAGAATCCGGGTAGAGTTTTTGGATCATGCAAGCAAATTTGAACGCAGTTCTCCCTGGGGCTAATCTTATAGTTTTCCTTTATTTAGGACAAAACTGCCATCCTCTCTAGCCACGCCAGCTGGATTCTCCAGAGTCCAGAAGAAAAGGCATACATGGACGAAACAAATTCTCGAAGCCGCAGGAAGACAAGGGACTACAATTCCCAGAATGCATCTTGGCAGGAGCCACGCCCTATCTCTCCGCTTCATTTATTCTCCGGCCCCTCTCCCTCCTGATTAGCCTCCCGAGGCTTTGACGGCATGGACCCATGTGGGAGCTCGGGCGGCTGATTGGCTAGCTGGCCCCACTCGCCGTAGCCAATCAGAGAGTAGCAAAAGACTGAGCGAGGGGAGAACCAATTTAAGGTGGAACCGAAGTTGGTGTTCTGGCTGTAGCGTCAATCGTATCTGTTTGTGGGAGGGGCAATTAATATATCTTGTTTGAATGAGCATTCTGTTAATGACGCTGGGTCTTTATGTGGACGGGGCCGAAGCATCATTTTTGCGGTAATACTTTCCGAAACAGTCATCCTCAAGAACGTGTAAGCATTTGTATAGTGCTGAAAGCAGTTCACGCACAACCATGTAAGGTAGGCCAGTCTTTTGTTCCCCCCCCCCCCATGGTGTGACTGAACAAAAGGATTAGTATTCCTCCTGCTCTCCCCCACCTCAGTCTTTCTAGGACATTTTTCGTCCAGTGCAATCTGCTCCAGCTTCCTCCCTGCCCTCTGTTGTCTCTCACAAAGTGAACTGCAGATTACAACCCCCCTGCAGTGCAGGCCTGGTCACTCAGCAACCTCATGGTGCTATGAAAAAAAGATGGTGGCAGTGGTTTCCTAGTGGTGGCCATTCACTGCAAAGCAACGAAGAAGTCCAGTGTGGTGAGAGCACTGGACAAGGAAGAGAAGAGGAGATTGGATTTATACCCCACCCTTCACTACCCAAAGGAGTCTTAGAGCGTCTTACAATCTCTGTCCCCTCTCCCTGTGAGGTAGGTGGGGCTGAGAGAGCTCTCTCGAGGACTGCCCTTGAGAGAACAGCTCTGAAATAACTTGTGACTGACCCAAGGTCACACCAGCAGCTGCATGTGGAGGAGTGGGGAATCAAACCCAGTTCTCCCAGATCAGAGTCCACGCTCCTAACTCCTACACACCAAACTGGGGGAGACCCACACTCGGGCCAAATTCCCACTAAGCAACTCAGAGCTCCTTGGAGGAAATACCCCATAAAAATATGAAAAAAATACAACAGAAGCTCCTGTCCCAGATGCAAAGTCACTAGTTTGTTGGGACACATTACGGGTGGCCCTTGGTTTCTGTAACTGTGACACCAGATGCAGTCTTTGACTCTTAAAAGCAGTCGTTGGGGAGGGGTAATATGTGGATTGGGGAAGGGGGAGAATTTACATCCACCCACCCCCACCTGCTGCATCATTGCCTTGAGCAGAGCCCTGCCCTCCCCTCCCCCAGTTCCTCTTTGAAGACTACTTCCCACTCTCTCTTTTCCCTCCTGGGACAGACCAAACACGGTAGGGATACGGCCACACAACCCGGAAAATCTACAGCAACTAATGAACTCCGGTCGTGAAAGCCTTCAGCAATATATTCGGCAACATATAGGGTAGGGGGATACTTCCAATAAGCACAACACCTTTTTTTGGGGGGGGGGAAGCGAGCCCCCCCCTTCCCTGATCCATGTTAACCCCTCGGGGGGCTCTTTAGAGCCCAAATAGCCTGTCTGGGGTTCAAGTTACAGAGTTTGGTCCTAAGACAGCCACCGTACCTTTGCACCCTTGACAACACCTCTCCCATCTTCTGAGGGGGATATAAAGACTCAGAGATCGCCCTTCCTACTTGGGTCTGATGAAGGGAGCTGTGCCTGTGGAAAGCGGATCCTCTGAAACCCTGGCTGGTCTGTTAAGGTGGTGCTGGGCTCCAATGTAACTGTTACACTCTAGATGCAGGTGAAGCAGCAGTACCAAGTATGAGTCCTGCAGAGTCAGGCTTCTTGAAGGTCAGCAAAGTTTAATTCTGGGGATAAGCTGGTGTGTTCACGCACACTTATTCAGCTACGGGAAGGCTTCTACCCAGAATTAACCTTTGTTGGCCTTAAAGGTGCCACTGGACTCACACTTTGTTCTGTTCTACAGTGGACCAATACAGTTACCCTCTGAAACATACTGCCTCTGCACCCCCCCATCTGCACCCTTTATTACATACACAGATTTATTACACACGCACATATACATTCTTACTTCAAGAATGGACGGCTTCAAGAGGGAATAAATATATTCGGCAACATATAGGGTAGGGATACTTCCAAGAAGCATAACACCTTTTTTTTTGGGGGGGGTGTGTGGAAAGCGAGCCTCCCCCTTTCCCCGATCCATGTTAACCCCTCCGGGGGGGCTCTTTAGAGCCCAAATAGCCTTGGGGTTCAAGTTACAGAGTTTGGTCCTAAGACAGCCACCGTACCTTTGCACCCTTGACAACACCTCTCCCATCTTCTGAGGGGGATATAAAGACTCAGAGATCGCCCTTCCTACTTGGGTCTGATGAAGGGAGCTGTGCCTGTGGAAAGCGGATCCTCTGAAACCCTGGCTGGTCTCTCTTATGTTCTTACTCTGCCAGTCTTTTGTGGTTCTAGGTCATTGGAGAAGAGCCTATGACATGGGTGCCAGAGGTGGCACTCAGAGCCGTCTCTGTGGGCGCGCATGCCATCGCCCCAGCCAGGCCCAGACCATCAGTAAAGTGTCAAATTCTCTGCCAAATAATTTTAAGTAAATGAAAGCATTTGGGATTGCTTTCCTTACTTTGTTTGGATCATCTTAAGTTAATGTATGAGTTGCCGTATTGGCACTTTGCGATAAATAAGTGGGTTTTGGGTCGCAGTTTGGGCACTCGGTCTCTAAAAGGTTCGCTATCACTGTTCTAGGTGGATAATAACCGGCCTCCTTCAGGGGGCTGATGGTTGGATTACCACACCAGTGCAGGTGAACTGCTTTGAATACCCTAAAGTGCATGCTGAGGATTAATGTTTCTGAGTAATAAGGCGTGCATTCATTTTATCTCCCTCTATGTTGGCGTGGTGGTGGTTGGAACGGGATCCACCTTAAGGACTTCAGTTTTGATAGATTTCCCCTCCGCTTGCCAATAGGCAGTTCTCATTCCATCCAGGGACTGCTGTTGAAATCCGTCCAGATTTTCGGCTGACCTTCTGTTCTTGCTCCCCCCCTCCCCTTTCCTTTAAAGAGATTGTATATATCTATTTTTTCCCTCTCCCTGCTGTGTGCTCAATGGGGGGAGACGACCCCCCAGACAGCCTGGGAAGGATTTCCCCCCACCACCTTTTTGCCTGGCAATTATGTTAGTGGATATTTTGCAACCCCTCCCCGCCCACCCCCCCAAAAAAAACAAAAACAAAAAAATTCAGAAATTAAACAGATTTTTTTCTTTCTGTTAAAAAAAAAAAATCCCACTTCGTTCGAGACTCTCTTGAGTTCCCCATTTTAAAATACATTTTTGACCGATTAGCTGACAAAAGGAAAGGGGGGGGGTAGATCCCCCAGGATGTATTCGCAAGGACGGCATTCTGTAAGTATTGGGGAGGGGTTTTCAACCATAGATTTGCTTTGCTTTAACGCAAAATAGAGAAATTATACAGTGTGTGTTGGGGGAGGGAAGGGAAGGGAAAGGATAACTTGGTAAATAATAAGACTGTTGATATGGGAGGGGGGGGGAGGTTAAATGGTGCCCAGATGATAAAATGTTATAGATGGAAAAATATGCTTTGCTTTAGTTTAATTGGAGGGGGGGGTGTGGACCCTCACCTGTGTATTCTGCCCCTAGCATGCTTCAGATTCTCTAATGGGAACGGAGTTGCTGATGAACACCCAGCCTCATAGCAAGGTTGTCTGATGGCCCCTGGAATGTGGAAGGGGTTTCAGTTCGGGTTGTCAGACCCTGCCGGGAGCTAGCAATTGGGGTCTGCAGACTCCACTGCCTTATTCAGCTGTGACGGAATTAAGTGGTTTCGCATAGGATGCTTTGGTGCCATTCAGACAAGCTGTGCATTTGGGGGATGGATGGCAGGGGGCTGTCACTTGAATGCAAACCCCTTTGCTCTGAAAACATTCCCAGCCCAGCATTGTACTCGTAGACATTCTTCATTGTTCCACCCCAAAAGCTTTATTTTTAGGGAAGGGATTACTCGGCATCCGAGAAAGGGCTCGGCATGAGTCCCTGTTCTACCTCCTGCATGGGTGCCCTGAGCTGTGAATTATGCATAAGATGTAAGAGGAATCTTTTTTATTTGGTTGGTTGGTTCAGGACAGGCGTTATTCCTTTTTTTTTTTTAACCGTGTAACCCACATCCAATGGGATTTGCTAGGTGCCTGATCCAACTGCACTTGGTGAACAGCGATGCCAGTTTAGCTGTCCCTCTCAGCAGAGGCGAATGGGAAGGTGGGGAGGCAAGAGCCATGAACCAGGCAGAGATGCAACAGACAACCTCCTCTGTTATTACATGGTGAGGGCTTTGGGAGAGGAAAGTAATAGTTGTGGGGGTGATCCTCAAGATATCTTAACACAGATTAGTTATGCCTTATTAACCTTTTAACAACCCTGCAAAGAGACAGGCCAAAGGGTGTCTTCCCCCACCCCAGTAATTTAAATTCAGATTCATATAGAGTGGTAATTCTGATCCTGTTCAGATTCATATAGGATGGTAATTCTGATGCTAGAAGGGTGCCCACTCCGGAGCTCTGAGACTCATTGCCTAACCCTAGTTTGCAATGACTTTGCAATGAGGGGGGAAGCACTTTGCACATGCTCAAGGGCATCTTTTTTCCTCTGACATTTGATGTGTGTGTGTGTGTGTGTGTGTGTGTTAGAAGCTTTACAGTAGAAAAGAGCAAGAGTCCAGGAGCACCTTTAAGACTAACAAAATTGGTGGCACGAAAGCTCCTCCCCTGCCCACCAATTTTGTTAGTCTTGAAGGTGCTCCTGGACTCTTGCTCTTTTCTCCTGCTACAGACTAACACAGCTACCCATCTTAAGCTTTCCAGAAATTACAAGACAAAGATATCATTAATCACGTTAGTTACAAAGAGAGAATCCTTAAATACATATGATACGAGTATATAAAATACAAAATCACCAGTTCTCAATTAAAACATTCCATACCATCGAACATAAAGTCCAGAGCTTCCTAGCTGCCCAGCTGCATGTATTTAGCGTCTTCTATCAACTACAGTTGAACAATTAGATATACCTTAATATTGCTTCTTTGACTGATTCCCTTGGCCTAGGTCTGTTCCAGTATCTAATAAATGGAGTCCAAAATGCTCAACAAATCATTCCTGATGTTCTTTATCTCGTTTTTATCCCGCTCTCCTGCCAAGGGGCTCACGCAGGTGTGGGTGGTTCTTCCTTCCCCATTTTACCCTCACCACCTGCCTGTGAGGTCGGTTAGACTGAGAGCAACCGGCCCAAGTTCCACCAGTGAGTTTTATGGGAGGGTGAGGATTGGAACCAGAAACTCACTTTCCCCAGACTGTGTCTAAACCTTGACCTGCTCACACAGCCAGCTCCCTGGAGTTGTCTACAAAGGCACGAAGCATCTTCCAGGGCTGATCTCTTTGGGTCAAAAAGACCAACCTCGCCAGGTGCGTTAACAACACAGGAAGACCAGCGGTCAATCCCGTGTGGGCATCGATCAGTTCAGCAACCCCATTTTGAACTGCTTGTCTTGATTAAAAAATAAATTAAAAAATCCCCTGGCAGTAGCCAGCTTAAAACCGCTTTAAGTGGCGCGTGTGAACTGTGTCTCAGAGGCTCTGTCAATGGGCACTTGTGAACTCACCTGACCCCCCCAACCATTTGAAATGTACTTGTGTCCATGTCTGAAAGCCTTGTGTTTGAACCTCTCTGCCCTTGACGGGGACTTGTGTGTTCTTCCTGAGTGAATGGCAGTAAAGAGATCCACAGGTTACAGAGACACCAGATTAGTGAATCCAGAGTACACGGGGGAGGCCTTATCTATGCTGGGAACTGGGGGGGAGAGGATTTCGAGAACAGTATTAATAACACTGTAGGCTTTAGAATGCACCTTTTAATAGTGCAACACATTATCTTGGTGTCCCAACAAGCAGTCCTGCAAAGGAGTCTAGTATGATGCTTTGGAGGGCCATGTGAGAATGGGGGGGTTTACAATTACCTGGGGAAGTTCAGATGGGGGGGGGGAATCTGAGATCACACTTCATTATCTTAGCTGCTGCACTACCTCAGTTTTATCTGAAGATTCTTCCCAAGTGCAGGTTTACTCCACAGTATTCTCCCCCCTTTCTCTAGCCAGTTTGGTGTCGTGGTTAAGTGCACAGACTCTAATCTGGGAAAGCCAGGTTTGATTCCCCCCTCCTCCACTTGTGCCTGCTGGATGACCTTGGGCAAGCCATAGTTCTGCCAGAGGTGTTCTTGAAAAAGAGCAGTTTCTGTTAGAGCTCTCTCAGCCCCACCTACCGCACGGGGTGTCTGTTGTGGGGAGGGGAAGGGAAAGGAGATTGTAAGCTGCTCTGAGACTCCCTTGGGTAGTGAAGGGCGGGGGATAAATCCAATCTCTTCTTCTTCTTCTTCTTCTTCTTCTTCTTCTTCTTCTTCTTCTTCTTCTTCTTCTTCTTCTTCTTCTTCTTCTTCTTCTTCTTCTTCTTCTTCTTCTTCTTCTTCTTCTTCTTCTTCTTCTTCTTCTTCTTCTTCTTCTTCTTCTTCTTCTTCTTCTTCTTCTTCTTCTTCTTCTTCTTCTTCTTCTTCTTCTTCTTCTTCTTCTTCTTCTTCTTCTAGACTTCGCTTCAGTCTGGGCAACCCTTCAAGTTCTCAGTTTTAGAAATCTGTGACCGTATTAAAGAAGAATTCCATTTCCTCCAGGCTCAATATCACAGGTATGGGGTGGCAGCGGGGTGTGTGTGTGACGATACCTGGGGATCAGAAGATACCCATCTGATGCTGGGTCCAGCTCAGAGATTCTGCTTTTTAAAACCAAGTTTCTAGTCCTCATGACCATAAGGATGGGCTTGGAAGTGTCTTGAGCACTGGTTGCCGAGATCTTGGAAAGCAGAGTGGGGCCTCAGTAAGACAGCTTGTGTTGTCCTGTAATGCCAGACATGATAGCTTAAATGGAACCTCCCTGTTCAGTGGCAGTATACCTCTGAACAGCAGCTGCTTCCTTCTCTTTCTCTTTTCCATCTTTAAAAAATAAAACTGTGGGAGACAACAAGCCTGATACGATCTCTCCTGGGGTGGGGTGGGGTGGGGACACTTGGGTGCCACGCCTCACCAACTGAAGGTGAACATGATCAGGATTTGGGTCAGAGCTGGGAAGGGACTGGAGACTCTCTCTCTCTCTCTCTCTCTCTCCCTCCCTCCCTCTCTTTGCAGCCTGAAGTTGGAATGTGAAAAGCTGGCCAGCGAGAAGACAGAGATGCAACGGCATTATGTGATGGTACGTGAGTCTCCCTCTCTCCCACCAGAGAAGCTCCAAAGGGAACCCTTTCCCTGGCAGGGCTTGACCCGAATCCACTGCAGGCGCAGGGGGAGCATTCAGAGCTCGGATCTGGGTGCAAAAGAGTCCCAGCTCCTGGCAGTGCCCTCCTTCCTGTGCAGTGCCTCCCTGTGCAGACCTGGACCTAGCCCTCGTCATCAGTCATGTTTGTATCTCTTAATAAGTAACACTCGGGTGAGAAGCTCTGTTCCTGAGAATCGCCGCCTTTTTGTGAAAAAAGAAAAAAGAATTACAAGTTTCTAGCCCTCATTATGTATTTATTAGGAGGAGGAGGAGGAGGAGATTGGATTTATACCCCGCCCTTCACTACCCAAAGGAGTCTCAGAATGGCTTACAAACTCCTTTCCCTTCCCCTCCCCCCAGCAGGCACTCTGTGAGGTAGGTGGGCTGAGAGAGCTCTGACAGAAACTGCTCTTTTTCAAGGACAGCTCTGACAGAACTATGGCTTGCCCAAGGTCATCCAGCCAGGTGCAAGTGGAGGAGTGGGGAATCAAGCCCGGTTCTCCCAGATTAGAGTCCGCGCACTTAACCACTACACCAAACTGGCTGACATATTAGATGTATGTCCTACGTTTCAACTGTGAGGTCCTCTCCGATTGAGAAAGACGGGCTTGAACCTGCATTGTGCACCATCTGCTAAAATCTCAGAAGCCCAGATTTCTGCTTAAATATGGCTTGTGTCATCCTGTGACACCAGGAAGGGGGGGGGGGAGAAAGATGGTTAAAAACAGGAATAAATTATTAAAATAAGTGTGGATATAAGTCATGCAAGTCACAGAATATTATAGATAGATAGATGCAGATCCCTGCCTACAGCATAAATATTCTGCTCTATATTTGGAAAATAAAATGGTGATTAACTTCAAAATAAATAAGGTGACAGGGTTCTCATTCTTTGCTCTAGATGGGTGTGGGTTCAAGACCAGACCCATATTTTTTTGGGGGGGGGAGATGCCTTCCAGTTCCCCTCCCCCAGTGTGCCAACCACTTGTGCCCTTTGTGGGGATTGTTTATTTACTTACTTTATGTGTACCCCACCTTTCTCCCCAATGGGGACCCAAAACGACTTACATAATTCTCTTCCCCTCCGTTTTACCCTCACAACAGCCCTGTGAGGTGGATCAGGCTGACAGTGTGTGACTGGCCCGAGGCCAACCCAGAGTACTGAGTCATCAATACTCGGAGGGGGGGGAGTTTTCCTTTATTTTTGGTCCCCTCCACTTCCATCTCTCCTCAGTTCCAGCATGATCCAACTGCCTGAATTTGTGTAATTCCAGGATGAAGAAACTATAAAATCAAAGAAACAATTTTATTGGCTTCTTGCTTTTTTTAAAAAAAAAAAATCTCATGATTTTTTAAAAATAGCTGTCTTGATTATTGTTTGATTATTGTAAGGAACAGTTTTTAGCATCTTTCTAAATTCCATGGAGGGGTGGGGTGGGGTGGGGTGGGGCCGTGGTTCAGTGGAAGAGCCTCTGCTTGGCATGCAGAAGATCCCAGGTTCAATCCCCGGTGTCTCCAGTTAAAAGGACAAGACTGTAAGCAATGGGAAAGACCTCAGCCTGAGACCCTGGAGAATAAAAATTAATAATTATCATATGGCGGTGTGTACAGTATAGTGGCTCAAAAATGATGGTCACAGTCACAGAACAGACCGCAAAAAGAAGAAACTGTGAGGTAACTGCGCTAGAAAATATTTCAATCACAATCACAATATTTATACAAAAATGTGTACAAAAAAATCATATAAATGCACAAGGCAGTTGAAAATGGTGTGACGATGGTCTCCGGAATGTTCTATCGTTTCGATACTATTCTTCTTCCGAAAGTGGATGAAAGCAGCGACTCTTGGTCTGTCATTTCAATAAGTAGGTATCAAAAATTTCATTAATATTCACCGATGTATCATAACTTAGTTGCAAGAAATTCTCTGAAAGAATGTTCCTAGGGCAAAGTGCTTGTATAATATTGTGATTGTTATTGAAATATTTTCTAGCGCAGTTACCTCACAGTTTCTTCTTTTTGCGGTCTGGTGTGTACAGTATAGCCAGGAGAGCCTAAGATTGTCCGGCAGCCAGATGTTGTAGCACTTTTAGCGTTATGCACCACTAGGGGGCGAGCTAGGCTTTTTAAAGGCAAGAGACGTTTCAGAGGTTCTGTGTCAGGACCCTGGTATTCCTTAGAAGGTCACCCATCCAAATACTAGTCAGGGCCGGCCCTCCTCAGCTTCCGAGATCTGATGAGATCAGGCTAGCCTGGACTATCCAGGTCAGGAGACCCTGGTGGGCTGCTGCCAGTCTGAGTGGACAATACTGACCTTAATGGATGGATGGTCAGATTCAGTATAAGGCAGCTTCATCTGTGTGGGACACGTTATGCACCAACTTGTGGAACTGGCCATTAACTTTGATTATTCTCTAAAGTCTTTGTCAGGTGGCTGGGCCAGCTGGTGGCTTCTTAGCCCTGACAGCTAAGTAGAACCTCCATAAATGGAAGTAGTCATCCCCTGAATACCAGATTTGGGGAACATGTCCTGTCTCTGAGACATCTGGATGTCCACCACTGAAGAACAAAATATTGGATATCAGCCTTGATCAAAACAGCAAGGGAATGGTTATGTTTTCATGCTGCTAGAAAATAGTCTGTTTCACTTGGGAGCAGTGTTCCTTCTAAGCTGAGTTGGTGTGAGCGAGCTCACAGTTTTTTAGCCCCCAGCTCACACATTTTTTGTCTCAGCTCAGGAAGGATGGCTCCAGAGCAAACGAATTTATGCCGTAGCCAAATCACTCGCTCGCAACTTTAATGCCAGCAGCTCACAAAGTAGAATTTTTGCTCACAAGACTCCACAGCTTAGAGGGAGCACTGCTTGAGAGCTTTCTTTTCCCTGTGCCTCAGTTTCCCTCCAGCTTTCTCTCCCCCCCCCCTTTCTTACTCCTGGTTTTTCTGTTCTTCCATTTCAGTATTATGAAATGTCGTACGGCTTGAATATCGAAATGCATAAGCAGGTACGTGACTCTCCGACGTCAGGGGGAAGTTGGAAGGTAACACCTTGAGTGTTTGGAAGTCGAGGGTATATCGGGGGGAGTCATTGGGGACAGGCATACTTTTTTGGTTTTCATTGGACTAAAGGGACATATTAATGTACCACCATCGCCCCACACGACTCTTTAGACTGAGTGACATAATGCGTAGGGGCAAGGAGGGAGCCGTCAACACTCTGAACTCAAGAACAAAGTCAGAATCCAGAGGCACCTTTAAGACCAACAAAGTTTTATTCAAGGTGTGAGCTTTCGTGTGCACGCACACGAAAGCTCACACCGTGAATAAAACTTTGTTGGTCTTAAAGGTGCCTCTGGATTCTGACTTTGTTCTATTGCTTCAGACCAGCATGGCTACCCACGCTAAACACAAGTTCCTGGCCCAGAATCGAATTCTCTGATGTTTAAAAGGGAAAGGTTCCCTTGCTCGAAAGCCAGTCGAGTCCGACTCTAGGGTTGCGGTGCTCATCTCCGTTTCCAAGCCGAAGAGCCAGCGCTGTCCGAAGACGTTTCCGTGGCCATGTGGCCGGCATGACTAAACCCCAAGGCGCACGGAACGCTGTTACCTTCCCACCGAAGTGGTACCTATTTATCTACTTGCAATTTCTTGCTTTCGAACTGCTAGGTTGGCAGGAGCTGGAACTAGAGACGGGAGCTCACTCTGTCATGTGGCACACTCGGGTCTCGAACTGCTGAACTACCGACCTTCCACAGCCTGCAGTTCAGGGTCTTAACCACTTGAGCCACCACAGCTCCTCTCTGATGTTCACTTTAATGATAAAAGGCCGCCAGGGATAAGTGGATGATTTCGATGAGGGGGGAGATAACTGATTCCCTTTCCTTACCCCCCCCCCATGTAGAAATGATAGACGAAACCCTGTTCACACAAGCTACGATGGGTACACGGACAATCCACGTACAGATTTCTCTTCAGATAGTTTTCCATTCTATCCTTACCGCCACCCTGAGAAGAAAGTTATCACGCCTTTGCGGCATAACCTTCTTCTCAGGGTGGCGGTGAGGATAGAGTGGGAAACTATCTGAAGAGAAATTTGTATGTGAATTGTCCGTGTACCCATCGTAGCTTGTGTGAACAGGGTTTCGTCTGTATTTCGAAGTGGGGGGGTTAAGGAAAGGGAATCAGTTATCTCCCCCCTCATCGAAATCATCCACTTATCCCTGGCGGCCTTTTATCATTAAAGTAAACATCAGAAGTAGACAACCAGCCCAGCCAGATCCGTGGCTGAAGAAGGATTTAAACCCAGGCCTCCGGGATATTACTCCAACAGCGGACTAGCTCTCGGGGTGGGAGGGGGTGGGTGTGAACCGGGATCTCCAATTCAACGTGATGGGTTGGAGAGAATGAGGCCAGGAAGGGGGGGGAGGGGGTAGCCTCAGGTATCACAACACCGACTTAGACTCCATTCCGATTGGAGATGAGATCTGAGACCCACTTTAAAGAAGAAGAAGAAGAGAAGAGATTGGATTTATACTCTGCCCTTCACTACCCAAAGGAGTCTCAGAGCGGCTTACAAACTCCTTTGCCTTCCCCTCCCCACAATAGACACCCTGTGAGGTAGGTGGGGCTGAGAGACTTCTGAGAGAACTGTCCTTGAGAGAACAGCTCTGACAGAAATGTGGCTTGCCCAAGGTCATCCAGCAGCTGCAAGTAGAGGAGTGGGGAATCAAACCTGGTTCTCCCAGATTAGAGTCCGTGTACTTAACCACTACACCAAACTGGTGAGACGGCGAAGAGAAAAGCCTTGGGAGGGTCTTCTTTAAAAGGGATGTAAAGTAACCTTCAACTACGTTCTTTGTGAGGACTGTTTATTTCCTTACTTTATTTGTATCTCGTCTTTCCTCCCAACGGGGACCCTGTGAGGTGGGTCAGGCTGACAGCGTGTGACTGGCCCAAGGCCACCCAGCAAGCTTCCATGGCAGAGTGAGGATTCGAACCTGGGTCTCCCAGTTCGTAGTCTGACACTCCTAGCCACTGTATCAAAACAAACCGTGTGCAAAGGTACAGGACCGGAGGGGTGGGCTCTTGACATTGCCTTTCTGCCTCATGTTAAAATCAAGCCTCAGGAGTAGAGGTGGGGGTGAGTGGGGGTGAGTGGGGGTTTGGAAATGGAGGGGCAGAGGGGGTGACCCATCAGTGTTTGGGGAGGAAGAGCAGAGACATTTAAGAGATACTGGCCGGGGGTGTGTGTGAAGGAGGGATGGGCCGCACCCTGACTGGATGTGGAAATAGGAACAGCCAGAAAGCTTATTGGTTGACTTACACCTGCGTGGCACGAGGGCTGGCTTTCTGGCAGGTGTTTCTTGCCAGAGGTACAGTTTGGTGTCGTGGTTAAGTGCGCGGACTCTAATCTGGGAGAACCGGGTTTGATTCCCCACGCCTCCACTTGCAGCTGCTGGATGACCTTGGGCAAGCCACAGTTCTGTCAGAGCTGTTCTCTCAAGGGCAGTTCTCAAAGAGCTCTCTCAGCCCCACCTCCCTCACAGGGTGTGGGGAGAGGAAGGGAAAGGAGTTTGTAAGCCGCTCTGAGACGCCGCCGAGTGAAGGGCAGGGTATAAATCCAGTCTCCTCCTCCTCCTCTTCTTCTCTGGCATCAGAAGCATTGCTGGGTGTGAGAGAGGAGGGGAAGTGAGTGAAAGCGCTCTTCTTCCTGGCGTGTCTGAGGACATGCTGAGTGCCGTTCTCAAGGAGCCTTTGGAAGGAATCTCTCTTTCTGGGCATCTGCAGAGAGAACTTTTCCCCTTAGGCAAGTAGTGTGCCTCTGTGCGTGTACAGAGCACTGTTCTCAAGAAGACTCTCTGAGGCAAGCAGCAGCTAGTTTGAAGAGGAATACACCCCCAGACCTCTGCACGTGGGCAGAGGGCTGCTTATCAGCTCCACCTTCTTGGGGTTTCATGGCCCGAAGTGGAGGCTGTGTTCCAGATACGTGGCGAGTCCATAGTGAAGGTCTGGCACATGCTCAGAGATCCTCTTGTCTAGACAATGACTTCACCGGTGCCAGGAATTGGAGCAGGTTCAAGATTTGGCTCTAATCGAGCCCTCTTGGGTAGGCAGGCAGCGGCGGGGGTGGGGGGGCACCATTGAGATGGGTTTTCCGATCCAGCTGGCCCGGGCACGCAGAGCTCAGCAGCGAGATCTTTTTTTAAAAAAAAGAATCCGAAGGTGCTGAAATCCATCAGGCCTCTTATTCAGTTTTCATCCCCCCCCCCCCTGGCCGGGAGTGCATTTCTCCCTCCCCAGACCTCCCTTTTGTTCCAGCCGCAATTTGCTCTCCATCTCCGGCTTTATCAATCCAGTCATCGCGGGACCGGCTGCCAGGGAAATTAGGTTGGCATGCCGCCCGGCGAAGTGGCAAGCAGGTTGCCGTCTGCCTCCATCTGGCTCATCTTCGCCAAATGTGGCTCTCTCTCTCCCTCCCCCCCCCCGTTTGTTTGGGGAGACTTCTGGCAAGAACCGCGCTTTCGCTCTTGGCTCCTCTGCTGGCTTTCCAAAGCCCGGAATATGGAAGAGTGCCCCCATCTTCACCCGCAGTGAAAGGAAAGATGAGCTGCCGCTACCCCCCACCACCATAGAAGAGCTGAGCATTCAGCGACAGCCACTTCCGAAACATGGTGGGAAGATGGGACCAGCTGGTGCAAGAATTCAGTTTCCTGCGCCAACTGCCCTTTGCCTCAACGAGCAGGTGTCTAGTCCTCATGGATGTGACGTTCCAAAGAGAAATAGTCAGCGACAGCGGCTTCTGTAAGGCATTCAGAATGTGAGGCTGGGGTGTGGGGTTCATCTGGCCGAGAGGCCTCCTTTTTGTTTGAAACCAAGAGCTGGTTTCCTAGTCCTCATGGAGGCAAAGACCCCGATAGAAAAACCAAGGGAATCATTCTCGATGTCGCTGTCAGACAATCCAGTTTCTGCTTGATTCTCCAGTCACTATACATGTATTCAAGTGACGCAAGTGTACATGATTTTTCTTATAACTGGCCTAGTGTAGTCCGAAATTTTGCATAATGCCGATATCTATTTATAAAATGAGCAGAGGTGAAAATCGTATATGCCACCCTGAGTTACTTGAAGGGTTGCCCAAAGAGTATAAATCTTTCAAGAATCCACTTCGGCAGCTTCTGAAATTTCAACAGGCATTGAAGATCGAGAATATCCTCATATATCCATAGTGAGTACTCTGGTTTCAAATGGATGCTGGGATTCTCGGAAAAGTGAGCCCAATTCCCAACATCTGTGCCATCAAATGGGCCCACTTTTGCAATCTCTTGGAAACTCTTTGGAAACTCAACCTCTTACTTGACAGCAGGTAAATCTCAGGGCCCTTCAGAGTTGGGAGATGAGATTTCAAAGCAAGGAAGTTGTGAATTCTGAGGTTATCGGGCAGCTGAGATTTCCCCCCTTGTAGACTGACAGTAGCGGAAGCGGGATTCAGACTCTGAACTTCCATGTCCGAAGTGAGAATGGCTGCTGGTTTTGCGACTCGTCTGCTCTCGCCTGGGATTTTGACTATCTCTTTTCCCTTTTAGGCTGAGATTGTAAAGCGGCTAAGCGCCATCTGTGCCCAAATCGTCCCTTTCCTGACACAAGAGGTAAAAATGATGTAAAAATATGCGACCCTTGCAGTGGTGAATGAGGCCAAAAGGCCGGGTTGTTGCTCTGAATGACCCAGAATCCTTCGCAGCATGCAGAAATTTTGTGTTAGGGCAATGTTTTTAAAAGCTGCTACCTCTGGTGGGAAGTGTGTGTGTGGGGGAATCAAGAGCAGTATTCTGTCCAACTGAACGTTGATCTCGCAGGTTCCCGATTCCCTTCCATCCCCCCCCCCCTTCCTCCCAATGTGCAATACCTGGATAATATTACTGGCCTACCCCGTATGGCTGTTGTAAGGATTATAACGTGTCAAGCATTTTGAACACTGAAAGTGCTTTATAAATATACATATACACACACACCCCGGTATATTTAGGTGGTTTCCCCGTTTGAGAGCCAGTTTGGTGTAGTGGTTAAGTGCGCGGACTCTAATCTGGGAGAACCGGGTTTGATTCCCCACTCCTCCACTTGCACCTGGCTGGATGACCTTGGGCAAGCCACAGTTCTGATAAGAGCTGTTCTTGAAAAAGGGCAGTTTCTGTCAAGAGCTCTCTCAGCCCCACCTACCTCACAGGGTGTCTGTTGTGGGGAGGGGGAAGGGAAAGGAGTTTGTAAGCCGCTCTGAGACGCCTTTGGGTAGTAAAGGGCGGGGTATAAATCCAATCTCCTCTTCCTCTTCTTCCTCTTCTTCCTCTTCTTCCTCTTCCTCTTCTTCCTCCTCCTCCTCCTCCTCCTCCTCCTCCTCCTCCTCCTCCTCTTCTTCTTCTTCTTCTTCTTCTTCTTCTTCTTCTTCTTCTTCTTCTTCTTCTTCTTCTTCTTCTTCTTCTTCTTCTTCTTCTTCTTCTTCTTCTTCTTCCCACTGATTTATTAAGCCTTCATCCACATATTCTGGGATGGATCTGGTCTAGGATAGCCAACCTCCAAATGGAGCCTGGAGATTTCCTGGTATTACAGTTGATCTCCAGGCTACATTTCCCCAGGAGAAAAAGGCTGCTTTGAGGGGTGGACTCCAGGGCATCGTTCCCGGCTCCCCTCTCCCCAGCTCTGTCTTTCCCAGGCTCCACCCACAAATCTCCAGGAATTTCCCAACCCACAGTTGGCAACCCGACGCTGCCTTGCCTTGATCAACAGCAAGCCCTTTCCATAAATGGCTCTTTCCTGTCTCCGCAGCATCAACAGCAGGTGTTGCAGGCCGTGGATCGGGCCAAGCAGGTGACAATGGGGGAGCTAAACAGCATTATTGGGGTGAGTAACCCGCTGTGGGAGAGGGACTCAGATGGGGACCCACTTCAAGCCCTTCCCCCACCCCATTTACTTTTGGAGGGAGGAAGATTTCTTGTCCAACGTGCCCGCCTCTGTGTGACCTGCTTTTAGAGGTGTCTCTTCTAATTGGGTTGGGGCAGATACTCGTGCAGAGACATTTTCGGTAGCCTCCACTGAAAGCGAAAGGCATCAGGCCTGTGCCTCTGCATTGAGAGTGATTGGATTATTCAGCTGCCCCAAATGCACAGCAAAAGTGCCTGCTCTCCCAGGGAGGCTGATTGGGAAAAAGCAAGGAACAGTAAATCATGCAGAGACACAACAGACTGGTGCCTTAATAGGTGGAGGCTTTGGGCTCCCAGAAGCCCAGTGTGGGAATGACTTTCCGGTCTATGTGAAATTTGGTTCAGCCACCCCCTTGTCAATTATCCTGGGTCAGGAGGACAAGAGTGTAGCTGTCTTACAAGTGGCCTCTTGCAAAGCTCAGGGTTACTCATTTTAGTTTCCCGTTGTAATCAAACAGGAAAGGCAACACAATGGCTTCTTTCATACCGTGAATGTTCCTTCTAGCCAACCAGGTTTGCTCATTTTTAAGGAGCCCATTTGGTAACGGAATTCTTGCAGGGCGCCTGTGCTTTCATCTCTCATCTCAGCTCTGGCAAAGCCCTCTTTGCTCTCCTGTGCAGGGATGCTTGGCGACTTTGGTGGTGCAACTGGGTTGAAGGGATACCCAATAAATAAAGACTCTTTGGAGGCAGCTTGGATCTTGCAAGGCACTCTGTTCATCACAGCTGAGCTCTTGCACAGCTCACCTTGCTGATGATTGGTGCGGCTAACAGTTACTTGAGTCTGGTTAAGCTGGCAAGAAGGAAGGAAGGAAGGAAGGAAGGTGGCCAAGAAGGGATGTGTAACCGCCTGGAGAAAGAGTCCAGGGTGGATGTTTGTGCAGGTGTGACCTGGGAAAGCGGGAGGGGGCCTCCTCGACTGGGTATCTCCAGGAATTTTTGTTTTCTCTCCAGCAGCAGCAGCTCCAGCACCTCTCCCATCATGCCCCTCCGATCCCTCTGACCCCTCACCCTTCAGGCTCCCAGGCCTCCGGCTTGGCTAGCATGAGCACCACCTCTGGCCTGCTGGCCCTTTCGAGCGTCCTGGCGGCTCAGACGCAGCTGGCTTCGAAGGATGACAGAGGGGCCCCAGACCCCGAGAACAACCGAGGTAAGAGGCGGCAGCAGGGCAAGGGGGGTGGGAGGGTCTGCATGATACTTGCCTGGAGGGTGAGGGTGTCCTGGGTTCGAATCCCAGGAGCTTGGAAGGACTTGCATTCGATCCTTTACATTTTTTAAAAGTCTTTTCTTAAGACCCAGCTGCCCGTTTAGATACAGCGCACTGGCTTTTAGTCAGTATAAGAGAGGTCGGTTTAAAATCCACTAGCACAAGACCCCAGCATTTTAAAAAGAGAAGAGAGCTACCATAAAGACTCCAAGTCAGTCGTCCGGCTTTCTTCCCGGTTCTTCCGAGTCTGCGGAAATGGCATTAGCTCCGATTTTTAGAGCTACTGGGTTGTACTTAGCAGCACAGAGAGCAGTCCAGTTTTCATTCCCAGACAGGAGATTAAGTACATGGCAGTCGTCCAAACAGTTGGGAAATATTTGCAAGAAAGGGGGTTATAAAGAAGCTCGTAAACAGCCACAGAGTTTGCATGGAAGGAAAGAATGGAGCAGCGTTCAGGGCGTTTGAGATCTGCATGGATTAAAAAAAAAAAGATGTATACAAAACTGTTTTAGGTCTCAGGCACAAGGACCTCACAGTCATGCCCAATGCAGAAACATGGAAAGTCAGTGGAGGTTCCCTGCTGCCTCTCTATACGAGTTGGTGTTCTGGGCTAACTTCCTTCCGATCTGAAAGCACACAGAACCCAGGGACTCAGTTTGTCAGAGAGTTCTCAGGTAGCAGGGCTTGGGGGGGGGGGCATTCTCTGCCTGAGATTTTGAAGAACCACTCCCAGTTGCCATAGTTGACAGTACTGGGTTAGGTAGGCCCCTGGCCCAGGGTCTAGACTCGGGCCAGACAGCTTCATTTGAGAGCAGCCGAGTTAAAAGGGAATCCGTTTTTAGGGAGGAGCCGCAGAACTTTGGATTCAGAAGGTCCTGAGTTCGATTCCCAAGAGCAACAGCCAGGCTGGCAGGGTTAAATGTGGCCTCTGCTCAGGACTCTGGGATCTGCTGCCAGTCGCGTGAGCTAGAATGGATCCATGTCCTGCTACCATGGAAGGGAGAGTTCTCCAGTGGTGATTTGTGCAGCGTCTGTGCATCCGGTGACTCATTGCCTCTCGATCCCTCTCTGTGAAGATGGCACTTTGCTTTTCCTCCTGGGGCTGAACAGCTGTTGTTCACGGAGGGGGCAGATTCTAACCTCCCCCCCCCCAGAATCTTGCCTGCACTTATTTGCATAACCCCTCCCTTTCACCCTGGGTTCCCACTGCTGGTCACAGCAGCACTGGACGGAGTGTTGAATCAGCCTCTATATGCAAAACCAACACTGTATGGCCTTCTGCCCCCTGAGGCCCCTCCCCAGACCCCATTCTCCCCAGGCTCCACCCTCCAAAATCTCCAGGAATTTCACAACTCAGAGTTGACAACCCTCTGCTTCACCCCTTGCTGTCTTCTCACATTTCAGATTGTAAGCTCCTTGGGGCAGGAATTTGCAGTTATAAGAACACAAGGAGAGCCCTGCTGGGTCAGACCAGGGGTCCCTCCAGCCCTGCATCCTGTCTCTCACAGTGGCCAACCAGTTCCTCCAGACAGACAGCCACAGGGCAGAGAGGCCGAGGCCTTCCCCTGATGTTGCCTCCTGGCTCTGGGATTCAGAGGATTAGTGCCTCTGAATGTGGAGGTTCCCCTCAGTCACCACGGCTAGTAGCCACTGATACACTTATCCTCCCCGAATCTATGTAATCCCCTTTTAGAGCTGTTTATTTCTGTGGCCATCACCACATCCTCTGGCAGCCAATTCCACAATTTTTTTTAATATATATATATATATATATTAATTTTTTAAAAACATTTTCTTTATTCATTTTTAAACGAATACAATAAAATATCGGTTTAGAGTTTGATATACATCCTCAGATTGCAGAAACATTCCCATATTCCACCATATATTGCCTTCTAATTTCTTATATCATAACTTTTATATGTGATAATTACCCATAAAGCACTTATTTATCTTTAGTCCCCATCACATATATTCCATCATTGTTTTTTCATTTAGCCATCTATAAAACTTTAACCAAAATGTTTCAAAATCTTCCCAACCTTTTTCTTTTAATTCTCCATCTCAGCTACCTCTAATTTTTTTTAATCACTTCTTCTCTCGTAGGGGTTTCTTCATTTTTCCACTTACTAGCATATAAAATCCTGGCTGCAGTAATAATATGCATCACTAAGTAACTTTCCTTTTTCTTAAAAGTACCTGGGATAAAGTTTAATAAGAAACATTCCGGTACAAATGGTATCGTTCTAGCTAACATCTCTTCAATTTTTTAAACTATACATCAACAATTTGCAAAAAACAATAGTGAATGAACAAATACAGCATCATATCATGTAAATGCAGTATAAATTAGGAATAGTAATTTCTAGTATATGAATTTAACAGGAACCGTTCATAACTTGTCATTGTCGAGCCTATCTGCGAATTTTTGTAACAACGCAACTTTTTAAAACCTTAAATCAGGGTATGTACCAAATTAAAATATTGCTATTATGTCTTTGGGTATGGACGATTTCGGTAGGATAGAGTTGTCAGTAGTCGCCTCAATGAAAGGAAGCTCTCTCTATAAAGTAGTATTTCCTTTCGTCCGTCCTGAACCCACTGCCCATCAGTTCCATTGCATGCCCTTTGAGTTCTAGCATTTTGGGAGAGGGGAGGGAAATTTCTCTGTATCAACTCTCTCCACCCCATGGATAATTTTATAAACTTCTGTCATGACCCCCCCCCCCTTAGTCGTCTCTCTTCTCAACTGAGAAGTCCCACAGCCTCTCCAGCCTTTCCTCGTAGGGAAGGCGCTCCAACCCCCTCATCATCTTGGTTGCCCTCCTCTGTACTTTTCCCAGCTCTGCAATGTCCTTTTTGAGATAACGGCGACCAGCCCAGTCCTCTGTGCAAATCTCTCCTTGGAGCTGAGGTCATTCTATGACATATTTGTTTCTATTATTAACAATAATATTCACCTGCATTTAAGCTGTACTGTGGTCATGGAGGAGACAACTTAGAGGGCAGAAGCCTGTATCACCCCCCCCCCAGTCTCTCTCGTGCCCCTGCAGCTGTTTGTTCAAGCTGGGAGATTTGGGGGGGGGGCCTGCACAAGTGACTAATAAAGCTAATTCCGTATCTGTAGAGGTTGGTTCTATTTCTGAGCTGGGGGACAGGGAACAGCTGCTTTGCCATGCAGGGAGACTTTGAAGAGGTGACTTGGCAGGGTGGCGGTGGGGGAGACAGTTAATGGCTAAGAGGAGAAATGTTGGAGCCAAGAAGACCTGCCTCCCCATCCCAGAAGTCCTGAAAGGGAAGAAGAAGAAGAGATTGGATTTATACCCCGCCCTTCACTACCCAAAGGTGTCTCAGAGCGGCTTACAAACTCCTTTCCCTTCCCCTCCCCACAACAGACACCCTGTGAGGTGGGTGGGGCCGAGAGAGCTCTGACAGAAACTGCTCTTTTTCAAGGACAGCTCTTATCAGAGCTACGGCTTGCCCAAGGTCATCCAGCCAGGTGCAAGTGGAGGAGTGGGGAATCAAACCCGGTTCTCCCAGATTAGAGTCCGTGCACTTAACCACGACTCCAAACTGGAAGGTTGTGGTTACTCCGTGGTGAAGAGAAAAGCATTTTAGCCATGTTCAAAAGGCATTCTTTCTAAATAGGGTGTGTGTGGGTGGGGTTGTTTATTGAGCTTTTTGGTTCAGCTGATATTCATTTCAACTCAGCTTGCACAGGCGAATCCCTCTGCCTCCTCCTCCTCCTCCTCCTTTCACACCCCCCCCCCCCCCCCCCCCCCCTTTCCCCCCCCCCCCCCCGCCCACCTGGTCCCCCAGGCGGATGTTTGGATGTCTTCTGTTCCTTTTTGACCGGTCATGGTGCTGGAGCAGCCAGGTTGTCAGACTTCCTCCTTTCCAAACTGGGGAAAGACGAACGACTTCGGTGCCTGTGAGCATGTGCAGAGTGCTCGTCCCTCACTGCTAAGTATCTAGGGTTGCCAAACTTCAGGTGGGACCCGGAGATCTCCGGGAATTGTAACCAGTCTCCAGGCTACAAACGTCAGTTCCCCTGAAGGAAATGGCTGCTTTGGAGGGTCGACTCTCTATGGCCTGGTACCCTGCTGAGGCCCCTCCCGTTCCCAAATCCTGCCCTCCTTAGGCTCCAAACCCCCCCCCCCAAATCTCCAGGTGTTTTCCAAGTAGCAGTTGGCAATCCTGCCGAGTTCCCTCCCCTTCCAGCGCCAGTTTGGTGTCGTGGTTAAGTGCGCAGACTCTAAGCTGCGAGTACTGGGTTTGATTCCCCACTCCTCCACTTGCACCTGGCTGGATGACCTTGGGCAAGCTGTAGCTCTGATAAGAGCTGTCCTTGAAAAGAGCCATTTCTGTCGGAGCTCTCTCAGCCCCACCTACCTCACAGGGTGTCTGTTGTGGGGAGGGGAAGGGAAAGGAGTTTGTAAGCCGCTCTGAGACACCTTTGGGTAGTGAAGGGCGGGGTATAAATGCAATCTCTTCTTCTTCTTCCCAAACTCTGCCCACCCCAGGTTCCACCCCCCCAAACCTCCAGGAATTTCACAACCCAGAGCCTATGAGTAGCCGCTTCTTCTCAGCTTCCATCCCGTGATCCTCTCTTCTTTGGTTTGCAGCCTCCAAGGGGGTGGCTGGAGATCTCCTGGGAAGGATTGCAACTGATCTCCCTGATGACCAAGATCACTTCCCCCTGGAGAAAATAGCTGCTTCAGAAGGTGGACTCTCTCTGGCATTAGGCCCCACTGAAGTCCCTCCCCTCTCCAAGCCCCGCCCTCCTCAGGCTCCACCTTCTTAGGGCTCTTTAGCTTGGAGAAACGACGACTGAGGGGTGACATGATCGAGGTGTATAAGATTATGCATGGGATAGAGCAGGTAGGGGAAGAGGTACTTTTCTCCCTTTCTCACAATACGAGAACTCGTGGGCACTCCATGAA